AGGCTTTCTACTCCCGTAAAGATTTACACCCTTGGAAACCCTGTACAGGGTCGCTATGGGTCGGACCCGACTCGATGGCACTTAACAACAACAACAAAAGGATCTGAAAAGTATTTTTTTACACCAATTGGTTAGCAGAAGAATCCCTGGCTGATAAGAGTTTAGGAATGATCGCTCTGAGCTCGTAGTTGTTGTTGTTAAGTGCCATCGAGTCAGGTCCAACTCATAGCAACCTTGTATACGGTTTCCAAGGAGCAACTGGTGAGTTTGAACCACTGACTTTGCAGTTCAAACTGACCTTATGGTTGAGTGCTTATCCTACAGCACCACACCGGCATACAACTTTCAATACTTTCTGAATTATGGGAAAGATCTATACATTCATTTTATAATCAGAAAATACTAAAGCTGTTTGAAAACCACCCCAACATTTCAGCATGTCTTCAAGGAACCTTTGTTTATTACCCAGATCAGTGCTGAGTCCCAAGGATGCACACCAAAGTGTCCCTCCCCTCCATGAACAAGCTGGACGCAGAATGGTTAGACTCTACTGGAAGTGAAGACGGTCTGGAGCCCAGGGGTGGGCAGGAACAAGCAAGGAGGGCTCCTGGAGGAGGATATATTTGTAGGACCTGCAGGTGTGGTGCCAAGGAACCTGGCGAGGACGTTTGTACCTGGGCCCCTGATGGCCTCCCATTGGCCTGGTCCATCCTCACCTACCAGCTGTGGCTCTAGGCAGGTAACTCCACCTTGACCAGCCAGTTCACCTACCGATCTCCTGGAGACTAGGTGAAGAAGTCTCTAGGCTGGGTGCTAGCCACTCATGGATGAGGTGTGTGGTCGGGTGTCTACACGCCTCCCTGAGGCCCCAGGCAGCAGCAGATAAAACACCTTGTTGTTCTAGGCCAACCTGGGAGGTGGGCCCAGAAAGAAGGAAGGGAACTCTGTAAAGAAAAGAAAGGTTTTGGACACCTGACTTGGGTGGTGACTGCAGACTGGGGCAAGGACTAGAGGGGGACACACTGGGCACTAGGGAGCTATGGAGGGCATTTCAGGCAGGCCACAGCAGGACAAGGGCAGAAGAGTGATGGCAAACACCAGGCATGTGGTGGGAAGCCACGGGTGAGTGGACACGGTTTTCTCAGCACGGGTTAACCTTTGACTGAGGAAAGGATAACTGGACACAATTTAATTTCAGTCTGAGTGACCTCAGTCTCCACTCTCCCCAATTCCAAATCAGCCTTTCTGGGAGGTCCCAAGGCGGAGTCTCTGGAAATGTCAGTGGCCTCCGGTGTCCTTGGAGCTGTCCCGAGTGACAGCACTGGACGAACTCTCTGGGTCCACAAGGCAGGTGGCCCCTGGCATGCCCCAGAGTGCCCTTCCAGAAGTGGGTACCTCCTCTGGGCCCCCTGGAAGGCCCCATGGCGTTTGCTGAACTCCTGGACCGAGTGGGCGGCCTGGACAGGTTTCAGGTTCTCCAGACAGTGGCCCTGGTCATCCCCATCATGTGGCTCACCACCCACGGCATGCTGGAGAACTTCTCCGGGGCCGTGCCCGGCCATCGCTGCTGGGTGCCCCTCCTGGACAACAGGACAGCCCAGGCCAGTGCTCCGGAGACTCTGAGCCCCGAGGCCCTGCTGACAGTCTCCATTCCGCCTGGCCCCAACCAAGAACCCCACCAGTGTCGCCGCTTCCGCTACCCACAGTGGCAGCTCCTGGAACCCAATGTCACGGTCAACTGGAGTGAGGCCGCCACAGAGCCCTGCATGGATGGCTGGGTCTATGACCACAGCACCTTCACCTCTACCATCGTAACCCAGGTAACGATACACCACCCCTCCCCCAAGTCCTGATGCCTTAAAGGTCAAAGTCACAGGTCACAGTTGACTGGCCTCACAATGTCCCAGTCCTGGGAGTCCTGGGAGTGGGTGTCTAGCCCCTCCTCAGCCCCACCAGCCTACAATATAATGTAGAATCCTGCTGATCTGCAAAGACTGTTCCTGGGGCTGGGGCTAGGTGAGGTCAGAGAGGGTTCCAGACATACACACTAGTTAGGAGGCAGGCTCACAGATATGCTGAGTGGACACCTGAGCACCCCCTTAACATTTGTACCTGGGCCCCTGATGGCCTCCCATCGGCCTGGTCCTTCCTCACCTACCAGCTGTGGCTCTAGGCAGGTAACTCCACCTTGACCAGCCAGTTCACCTGCCAGTCTTCTAGAGACTAGGTGAAGAAGACTCTCGGTTGGGTGCTAGCCACTCATGAATGAGGTGTGTGGTCGGGTGTCTACACGCCTCCCTGAGGCCCCAGGCAGCAGCAGATAAAACACCTTGTTGTTCTAGGCCAACCTGGGAGGTGGGCCCAGAAAGAAGGAAGGGAACTCTGTAAAGAAAAGAAAGGTTTTGGACACCTGACTTGGGTGGTGACTGCAGACTGGGGCAAGGACTAGAGGGGGATACACTGGGCACTAGGGAGCTATGGAGGGGCTTAGGCAAGGAGTGACCGGAAAGCCACACCGGAGTGCCTTCCCTGTCCCACAAGACCCTGCCAGGCGACTCTAGAGGGCACCTCTCAGCTGCCCACAGTCCCATCTATCTCCTCTGTCCCCTTCGGATCCTGAGCTCAGCCCTCTCCTTCCAGTGGGACCTGGTATGTGAATCTCAGGCCCTAAAGCCCATGGCCCAGTCCATCTACCTGGCCGGGATCCTGGTGGGAGCTGCCGTGTGTGGGCACACCTCAGACAGGTGAGAGCCACCTGGTTCTGACAGGCTCGGGATCCTCTTGTCAGCTCTACAGCTAAGCCTAGAGAGAAAGCTCTCCTTGTAATCAGAATATCTGGGTGTTAGCCTGCCACCTTCTTTCTAGCTGTACTTACCTTGGACAAGGCTGTGCCCTCTCTGAGCCTCTATTTCACAGACTCTACTCTCAGGGATGTGAGAGGGTCATTGTTTCCTATCAACTACTCATTCCTGAAAACTGCTCTGCCACATGCCTGCTTGAATCCTCCTGGAGATGGGGAGCTCATCCCCTGCCAAGAGTGCTTTCTCTGCTTGTTGGGAGTCAGGGGCACATTTCTTTATGCTCATTAGCCTTCCATGATCGAACAGCGAGGGTCTGGTCCTGGGGGTCTTGTTGACACACACCTCAGCTTCAGTAGGTATCATAGGGTGGGCACACTGCTGACCCCAGCCATACTCCTGGTATGTGCCACAGGTTTGGGCGCAGGCTGGTGCTGACCTGGAACTACCTGCAGTTGGCCGTGATGGGCACGGCGGCTGCCTTCACCTCCACCTTCCCTCTGTACTGTCTGCTCCGCTTCCTGCTGGCCTTTGCCTTGGCGGGCATCATGATGAATACGACCACTCTCTGTAAGTCCTGGCCCTCAGCCCCACAGGAGAGCCGCTCCCTGAGGCTGATCTGCCCCATCTCCCTGCAGTGACGGAGTGGACATCAGCACCGGCCCGGCCTTTGGCAATGACTTTGAACTCCCTGGGCTTCAGTTTTGGCCATGTCCTAATGGCCGCTGTGGCTTACGGTGTGCGCCGCTGGACCCTGCTACAGCTGACAGTCTCCGCCCCTTTCTTCCTCAGCTTTGTGTACTCTTGGTGGGTGCCCAGCCCCGCCCCTCTGGCAGCTAGAAGGTGGACGTTCCCTCCCCGGGGACTTCATCCACACCCAGGGCTCTAACTCCATCAGAGGCTGTAGTCCTGATCCCACCTGACCTGCATGCAGTCCCATGACCTCACCATCTGTGAGATGCTTCAGTGTGCCCCACAAACCTAACACCTCCTTCCCCCTCCCCCACCCACCTGGTTACTGGGCTTGGAGGCACCGTGACCGCTCCCTCTCCTCCTATCCCAAGTCCACACAGTCACCAGCTCCTGTAAACTCTACCTCTGATGTGTCCCATGAATCTCCCCATTTTTCTCCCCTGCAAACCCTAAGGGTCCCAGGGCCCCAGGTGGGTAGGAGACAGATGGCCCCATCCCTGGCTGCACTGCCCATGGACAGTGTCCGGCTGAGGGAACCTCCTGAGCAGAAGCCTGGAGGTAGAGCGGTGTGGGGGAGCTACGAGGGCTCAGCAGGCTGAGGGGCAGGCTATATGTTGAGGTCAGTGGGGGCCAGGTTAGTATTAGGGGACTGGGATGTTGGGGCAAATGGGCATGCAGGCACAAACAGGCCAAGAGTGAAGAGGGAGAAGTAGGGAAGGTCTAAGGTGAGGACAGCCCCTGGGCAGAGCGGAACCTCTCACAGTCCCTGGGGCCTCCGTCCGCCCAGCCTGAGTTGATAAGTTCCCAGAGCTGAGTGAGGTTCATGCAGGCTCAGGCCAGGCAACAAGCAGTGACCTTCTGGTCTCCCCAGGTGGCTGGCAGAGTCGGCACGCTGGCTCCTCATCACGGGCAGGGTGACCCGGGGCCTGCAAGAGCTTCAGAAGGTGGCCACCATCAACGGGAAGAGGGCAGCAGGGGAGGAGCTGACTTTAGAGGTGAGGTGAACCCTCACCCTCTCCCTGCCCCACACAGAGCACCTGAGAGATGGCAGCAACTCCAGACCCAGGGCTCGGCTTCTAGGTGCCCCCAGTGTTGATGGTGCCCCCATCCCCGCAGGTCTTGCTCTCCGCCATGCAGGAGGAGCTGAACGTGGGCCAGGCTCAGGCAAGCCTGTCTGCCCTATTCCTCACACCTGGACTTCGCCATCGGACCTACCTCTCCATACTGTGCTGGTAGATGCCCATCAACACCCCACCCCACCCAGGCCCAACCTCTGCCTCAGGCCTACCGCCCCCCCAGCTGCCAGCAGCTGGACTCCAGGCTCTAGGGGCATCTGGCCAGAGGCCATATACTAACTCTCCTGCCAGCCCCACTGGCCCCACCACCCCCTCTGTCAGACAGGCAGCAGCCCATAGCAGGTGGGCTTAATAAGAGTCTAATAAAGGGGCATCTCAGATATCCACACTCCTCATTAACTCTCTGCTGTGGAGAGGCTCCCTTCTTAAACACCCCAACACAGAGAGAAGGGAGAATTCCCCAGCTTCTCCGCCTCATCCAACCTCCAACCCCTCACCAGGACCTCCCATTGGAGGTCCACTCCCAAACCAAAAGCTACATTGCAAAGGAAATGCAGTCCACAGAACTCATCCCCACCCCACCCCCACCAGCATCATAGGAAGCCTAGCGTGAGAAGAGCAGGCAGGAGTCTGATCCGACAAGAAATGAGCACGTGATCAGTCCACTCCCCAACCTGACTCCACCTGTCCCCAGGTTTGCTTTTGGCTTCACCTTCTATGGCCTGGCCCTGGACCTGCAGGCTCTAGGTAGTAACATCTTCCTGCTCCAAGTCCTTATTGGGGTGGTGGACATCCCAGCCAAGATTGGCACCTTGCTGCTACTGAACCGCCTAGGCCGTCGTCCCTCGCAGGTGGCATCCCTGGTGCTGGCCGGGCTCTGCATCCTGGCCAACACGATGGTGCCCCGTGGTGAGTACATGGGAAGGGGCAGGGCTTCACGGGGCAAGGCTTCCCTTCCTGGGGGCCTGAGCACCTGGGGCACTGGGCCAGAGGAGAGGAGGGGACAGGGGCAGTTGGGAAGGAGGCTGTGGCTTCTAGGGAGACAGGATGCTGGTGTGGACTCCAGTAACGAGCAGCAGGTTGTGGGAAATTGTGAGACTAACTTAGGGATAGATTCAGGGGGAGGCTGAAAGAAAGGGAGGGGTCCAGCTTTGGCTGACTAGGTGGGGAGCAGATTGAGAAGGGGGGGATGTGCTCATGAGGTCAGTTAGGGCATGGTGAATCTGTGGGGTCTGGGCCTCAGTGGTTAACCATTTGTCTGCTAATCTAAAGGTTACTACTTCAAACTCATGAACTCCTCCAAAGAAAAAAAGATCAAACACTAAGCCCATTGCCACTGAGTCCATGGCAATTCAAAGTGACCCTATAGGAGAGAAAAACTGCCCCACAGGGTGCCCAAGACTGTAAATCTTCATGGGAACAGACTGCCTCCTCTTTCTCCCCAGAAGTGGCTGGTGAATTTGAACTAGCTGGCTTTCAGTTAGTAGCTGAGCGCTTAATCACAGCACCACCATGGTTCCTTCCATAAAGATGACAGCCTAGCACCCCTGGGGGCAGTTCTACTCTGTCGTATGGGTCACTGAGTCACTGAGTCAGAATGGACTTGATGGCATACCACCACACCCCATCTACCATGCACCCCACTAACCCGCCTCTCCTCACAGACATGGGCGCCCTGCGCTCAGCCCTGGCAGTACTGGGGCTCGGTGGAGTGGGCGCCTCCTTTACTTGTGTCACCGTCTACAGTAACGAGCTTTTTCCCACCGTGCTCAGGTAAGCAGGAGCTGAGGCCCAAGCTGGGTATACTGGGTAGGGATATGGTAGCCTCCCTGAGGCCTTCTGTCTGGGCACGAGTCTCCCTTCTAAGTGACCTCAAGCATGACCGGCCCAGCTTAACCCTCGCCATCTCCCTGGGTTGGCAAGGCGAGAGTTCACACCCATCTGTGTCGGCAGGATGACCGCCGTGGGCCTGGGTCAGATGGCGGCCCGTGGGGGGGCCATCCTGGGGCCCCTGGTCCGACTGCTGGGTGTGTATGGCTCCTCACTGCCTCTGCTGGTCTACGGAGCAGTCCCCCTGCTGACCGGACTGGCCGCGCTGCTGCTGCCTGAGACTCGGAATGTGCCGCTGCCCGACACCATCCAGGACGTGCAGAGGCAGTGAGTAGACCTGCCTGGGACCCCTGCCCTCCCACCAGAGAACCACAGAGCTGGGCCACCCTGGCTGCCCACCCACCTCTAGACAGAGGGACGGCAGAGGCCCTGAGAGGGTAGGGCTGACCTTTAGTCTCACAGCATGCCTTTGGGAGGGTAGTAATTAAGCCTGAAGTGTCCTTGTCCTCATTCCTCACAAAGGCCAGCTCCATGGAGGGCCTCCCCCCTTTCAGGTGGCACACAGCACTGAGGTGGCCATTGTTGGGGGTCCTCACACACCACAGACTCACCAGTAAAGGCTGACCAGGGCTCAGTCACTGCTCCTGTCTCATACTCTGGGACCCTCGGTGACCATATCTCCTTGGTCCTTAGGATGTGCACCCCGACACATAGTCCCTCTATCTCTCTCCTGAACAGGGCAGAGAAGAAAGCAGCCCACGGCACACAGGGACACCCTGTCCTGAAGTCCACGCAGTTGTAGGTCCCCACCGAGGGACCAGGGAGAAGATGTGGAACAGAGGCCTTGATTTCCGGGGGTCCTAGCTCACCTCCCAGAGCTGCCCCCTTACCATCTGAGCAGCCACCGCCATATAGAAGGGACATCATCGGTTAGTGTGACCAGCAGGGAGGCTGCCCTGTGTGTGCCACCATGAAGGGATATCAGGTTTAGGGGGCACTGCCCTGTGGGCCCTATGCTCACCTCTCTGCCCCTGTCACCCACCCGTCGCCCAGTTCAGAGGCACAAGGAATAGAGTCTCTGTTCCTCAGATTCCTCAGATCAGCATTGGCCTGCTCTGCATCCCACCCCCACTCCACCCCACCTCTTGGTCTCCACTCCAGCCACAGAGCTGGTAGGCCTGAGGACCCCACGTCCAGGGTCCCAACACAGAGCTGGCCTGGAGGGGCACTATGGGGGCACCAGTGCAGGGAGATGGAGAATGAATAAAGGAGTCAGTGAACAACTGTCCACAAGGACTCCGGTTGAGCTCGCTGAGTCTGCCGTGTGGGGTGAGAAGACTGCTAGACACTGCTGGGGGAGGTCTTTCCCAGCCACTGTGAAGGGCAGTGACCACTGGACTTGGTACCTGATGCAGGCACTCCACGGGCATCATTTCGTCTCATTGTCTCCTCAGCCCTGCAAGCTTGGTGCCCCATAATAGAGCACTAAAGCCCGGAGACATTAACTGTGCAGGATACACAGCTAGGAGAGGGCAAGATTGGTGTAGGACCCTGGCCAGCCCTCAGACCTCACATTTGGGGCACAAAGTGCAGCCTCTCTAGGGCAGGACCACAACCTCCTCCCACTCAGAACAGGCTGGGACCATGGTGTCGGATGGCACAGCCCAGGGGGTGGGGGTGGAAACAGGGCAGTCCCAAGCTCCCCTGGTCCAGTTGACCAAGCCCTCTGCTGTGCAGTAGGGCCCCACCCTACTCATGGGTTTCTGCATCCACCGGTAGCTGCTTTCAGACACCAGCTGCATGCTCTCACACAAACCAGTGATGTGTGTACATACATGTGCACACACACACACACACACACACACAAGCACACATGGGCACTGCCTTTCACGTGTACAGTGTACGTACCACTGTACATGCACATAAATGCACACAGACACTGCCTATACACATTCACACTGCATGTACAGCTGTACCCATACATATGCACACATGTACACAGGGCACTAGCTGTGATGCACACACATGGACAGTGCCTGTATACATGCACACTGTGTGATACAGCTATACATACACACATGTGTACACATGTACACAGGACACTGCCTTACACACACCACTATACACACGCATGTGCACACGTGGACACATGGACACTGCCTATACACAT